TTTATTTCAAACTTCACAATGTTGCAAACAGCCCACCTAAACCGAACATGCTCACAAATCCACTTTTAGTCCTTTCTGTTGAGTACTGGAAATAGATAAACGTTTAGTAACTTAATAAATTAGCTAAATCAAAAAGTTTGCACAAAGCTTCTCTGAGCAGATCCAAACCATAGGACCAGTCCAAAAATATCTTAACAAAACTCAAAGAACAATTAGCATTAATGCTTTTTTATTTACCGTCAAGAATTAAAATCTATTATGAATTTCACATGTAGGAAAGATGCGGACATCAGAAGATGTTCAACACTAATTTTTATTTATTACAAGTTTATTTGTTGTATTTTATAGGACTGCCTATACACACAGATTAGCCATGAAACAAGCAGCATAGATGTTAAAATCTGTTCTTTTTCCACTCAGGTCAGTGGAAAGAATTTGACCCTGGCTGAAGGGAGAGACCCTCTCAGCTCGCAGGGTTATGAAAATGTCGTCTGGTTTGTTTTGTAGTGATGTTGATCTTTGCAGAGCGAAGACAGAAAGGTTTGAAGCATTTACCTTTAAAGTGAAATAAAAGTTTATAGACTTCAAAACATGTAGAATTCTTTCCTCATGGCAACGTCTCCGTTTCAGGATTTGACTCTTAGATGTTGTGTGATAGGTGGATTTGCACAGAATTTAGATTTTTGCTTCTTTTATTAAGAAAAAATAACCTTGTTGCCACCATTGTTTTGTCTTTAGCCGTGTCTAAACATTAGAACTAAAAAATTGTCAAGGCAAAAAGCAGCATTGATTCATTAGTTCTTTTTATTTCTCGGCTTTTAATCTTACCTTTACTTTCCTCCTAATGCAGATCACATAAAATGTCCTTTTTATTAACATAAAGTTATTCTCTTCAGCAAAGTTCAGTCGGTCTGGACGATTTCTTTTTTTTGTTGAGACGTTTCGTCCTTCATCCAAAGGACTTCATCAGTCCGAGGAGCTACAACAAACTGAGTCCCACAAGCAGCAAACCCACATAGTGGACCAACCAGTTTGATGGTGATAAAATTGTTTCTGGGGTCCACCCTCTCCCCCGTCGACTCCTCTGAGGCAGCCATAGCTAAAATCGTTAAAACGTCAAAATTTATGCTCAATAATCCTGGTAAAAAAAATCCAACAAAGTTCGGTCAGGTCATAAGCTTTGATGTTTTGAACCACTTTAGCTATGGCTGCCTCAGAGTCGTCGACGGGGGAGAGGGTGGGCCCCAGAAACAATCTTATCACCAGCAAACTGGTTGGTCCACTATGTGGGTTTGCTGCTCGTGGGACTTAGTTTGTTGTGGCTCCTCGGACTGATGAAGTCCTTTGGATGAAGGACAAAACATCTCAACAAAAAAAGAAACCACCCAGACAACCTGACTGAACTTTGTTGGACTTTTTTCCTGGATTATTGCGTATGAACTTTGACGTTATTCTCTTCTGTTGTTGATCCACATCTACATGTAGCAACATGGGAAAACACAGAAAAATGTGACCAGAATTACATCAGTTTACTGAGGAGTCACTGTGACAACACACATTAACAAAATAAAACTTAATTTTTAAAAAAAAAAAATTTAAATTGGTAGGGATGCAAAAAAGAATCATCTAAAATAAAGTTGTCAGTTAAAGATGCGTGCTAGATTTCCACTTTATGGAGTTGTCTGAAATGACATTTAGTTTTATGTTTTTCTGGAACTACTATTATTGTATGCAATCCTTTAAACTGAGAGTTTCACAACTATTTCACCTCTGCCTTCCAAGTATCCACGCAATAACATTTGGACAATTAGTCTTGCAGACACTTGCATAGTGAAGTTAACCATCTGTGCTAGAGGCATCTTCACATGAGCATCTGCACGATGGCATCAGCTGTGCCGGCTGCATAAAGGGAAGTCATAGCAGGAGTTCACTTTCACTAGTTAGTAATCGGTTAAAAGTATGAAAAGAACCAACAGCTGACCTGTTTCATGTCATTAAACTAAGTTGTAACTCAGCTTGTAGTGGTCCTGCCTCCCATCAGTCTGACAAGAGAGAGAGAGAAAAAAAGCAGCTTTTCCTAAAATTCTTAGATTAAAAAAAAATAAAATAAATGTAGTTAATGCTTCTTGCACCAGCAATTATAACGAAGAACAGGAAGTAATTAGTTAAAACTGCATATTCCAATTCCCATGCGTTTGATTGTTGCACACCCCTTTTGTTCACAAGAACAGACGGCAAACTAAAGAGTCCTGTAAGGACTTTTTGCTGTTCCAACAGATTACCACACAGGTGCTGAGTGATGCTCTGCGTGAAGGCAACATGCTCTGGAACTCTGTAACTCGATCTGTGTGTGCGCTGGAGGTCTACACAAACATCGCTAAGCATCTAATGACAGAGATACTGCATTTAAGTCTAATCCAGTAAAACAGATCCCTTTCCCATAAAAAAAACACCTTAAGTATTTAGAGCTCCCAGATTGGTTTTATCATTTATATGTGTTGTTTTCATCATTTATTGCAATTTGGTTTTAAATGTCAACAATACGTACTAAAATTAATGTTTAAACTCATTTAATTGAGTGTTTTTAACCGTTTGTGGGCCTATACATTGCAACTGAAACCAGTGATTAGACATTCCCATCAAATGTTTTGACAAGCCGGACTGAGAATCCAAACCTTGTGTTCAGACTGTGCACGATAGTGTGCTATAAATGTGCAGGGTGGTGCTGATGAGGAGGAGGAGGAGGAAGAAAGGAGTTTTAACTGTTTATTGGAGGAAATGTTTTCGGTTTGCAGTGACTGTGAATCAGAGACAAATGCTCAGACTGATATAAAAAATAAAAAAAATCTGAGAAAAACGTTCAGTGTATGGGCAAGCTAATGTCCCAAATGCCTGTTTTACAATGAGTGGACAAAAAAAAATAATCATATCAAAGAATCTGATATTATAAACTGGATTATTGAGCAAACTCATTTTGTTTTTGTCTCGTTGAGCCGAGGGAGTGGCCTGAAGACTTTGTTCCCCTAAAGGGGCCATGCCATAAAAAGTTTGAGAACCACCGCTTTAATTTGACTTGTCCAAGTTTTTTAAATTAGGAAACTGTTAATTTTACTGCACCGTTTCAGATGGCCACTTTTAAAACGGGGATGAACTTTTCTCCAAGAAGACGTGCGCAGTTTTATGATCAGATTTACAGCCTCTGATGTGCAAGTCTGAGGAATGCTGTTACACGACACAAACGCTGCAGCCTTGTGGTTTGAAATCTGTGCTATGGAGAAAGAGCCGCCTCAGAACTCGGGTGTAAAATGAAGACAAATTGACGGTCTTGTGTTTTTGGGAATTTTTGTGGAGGAAAAAAAAAATACATGTTGCAGTTAAGACTACAGAAGAATGTGAACAATCACGTCATGGCGTTGCACTTTTAATTTTATTTCAAACCGAGGAAGAAAAGAGGGAGTAATAAAAGAAAAAAAAAAAAAACATAGCAGAACAATAAGTTAAATACAAGTTTGTGTCAAAGAAAATATTTAAAAAGACATAAAATGCTAAAGTGTGTAACTGTATTAAGGCAAACACAATGAAACAAATATATACAAAACCAATACGAAATGTGGTGAACATTCACATAATTTAAAGAAATTATTAATACGATGGGAAATCAACAGTTAAATGCAACTCTTCCCAAATTAGAGAAAGAATACATGGAAAATTTCACTTTTACTTCAAATTGAAACATCTTCTGTTTGGAAAAATGACCAAAATAAAAATACCATCACTCATTTCGACCCAGTTCTCTCAAACATTCACAATAAGACAGAGAGCTGCATAATAACACATTTTTTATCTTCTTTAAAAAAAAACTTTTCTGCTTCACCTCCTCTCAGAGGAAGTGTTGAAATACATTTGCTTTACGGCCTTGGCTGTAATCAAACGCATGAATTCATTGCAGGAAGGGAATTAAAATGATGTATATTTCCATCTTCTGTCTTTTTCTTTCCTCCGAACAAAGACTGTAACAAATCTACGTAAGCGCCGCATCCAAGAAAACTAACAGTGAGTTTTACTCCCACATGTGGCCTGCTGGGTCCCAGTTTACAAGGGTTTTATTTAAACTTTTCATAGCTTTGTGTCTGGTCTCAGATGCATGCAGCCTTTAAAAAAAAAAATAAAAAAAATCCACCATTAAATGTGGAGAGCATTTTGGTCCAACAAAAGCCCTGAGAGCTTTAGTTTGGAAAATGAACCTTAAATCTTCAGTGTGAGAGCTGAAATTCCTCTTTCAGTCAGACGCATGAAAAAGAAAAGTCCAGAGAATATTTTAGCTTTAAATAAAAATTCCCCTTACATGATTTTATCCATCGCGAACTCCAGAAATGGGAACTACAGTACTAAAGTAACAGGCAAAAATTCCATTACCGTATTTTTTGGACTATAAGGCGCACTTCAAATCCTTTAATTTTCTCAAAAATCAAAAGCGAGACTTATAATCCAGTGCACCTTGTGTATTAATTCTGGTTGTACTTTCTGACCTTGAACTGATTTTATGTGGATGTTGTGAATGAGCCGAATACAGTTTGACTTATCTGACGGTTTTGTTTTGCTTAATGCGCCTTATAGTCCAAAAAAAAAATACAGTATTATTTTATTTACAATTTGCAGTCCAGACATCCATGTATTCATCGGAAGTTTATTTTACAACGAACCTGTTCAGCCAGGTCATCTGGACAATTCATTTTTTTTGCGAGACGTTTCGTCTTACATCTGAATGACTTCTTCAGTCCTAGGAGCCACAACAAACAGGAGTCATTTACAGTAAAAAATATATACATTTTTTTAATCACCAGCAAACTGTCCCCCCCCCCCCCCCCCACCCACTATGGGAGTGTGGTGATTCTGGGACTCCAGTTTGTTTGTGGCTCCTCGAACTGAAGAAGTCCTTTGGATGAAGGACAAAACGTCACAACAACAACCAAAGAAATCATCCAGATGACCTGACTGAGCATTGCTGGATTTGTACCTGGATTAATGAGCATGAACTTTGGTGTAACCTGTTCTAAACTTGTTTTTCCTATTCTAGGTAAAAGTTAGTTCTCTAAATTTACTTCTCATGCTTACTAAAAAAGAAATTCCAGCATATAACAAAGCATTAGACAGTTGCTGTAAAGTGAACTAAAAAAGTAACAAACAGATTTATTTCCCTATTTTTGCACGGAGTCTGAAAAGTGATTTGTGTGTAAATTATATGCAATAATTCCTGTTAACATGAGTATGATGGTTAAATACGTGAAAAGATAAACCAACCGTTACAACCAAACCCTACACCACGAGTGAATATATTTAACAAAATGCAGAATTGTGCTGGTTTTTATTAAAAAAATACATCCAAAATTAGTCTCACCTGGGTTTAACAATAAATTTTTCTTAAAAAATGTTAACCATCACAAACATTCACCGAGAAACTGACACAACTGATGAAGTTATTGTAGTAAAAAGTAGTTTTTGTTTAATATATACAATCTAAACCTGTAGATGCCTAATCTGGAATTAAAATGTTTGTGATCTAAATATATAAAATGTGTGAACTCTGTTTTCTGAGTACAATCCTAACCGGTGCAGTTTTTTTTTTTATTTTTTTAAATACAGTTCAATGTAAACACAACAGGAGGGGAAAAAAAAAGGATTTTCAGATTAATAGATTTTTGAGATTCATTAGCCCCAAGCTTCAGTCTGTCATGTTTTTATATTCTAAATATACACAGCATTTATCAAATCTGTCAGTGAGGAAGAGTTAGGACCAAACCGCTCCCCCCAAAAGGCAAAACTGATCCAACATCAGCAGTCCTGATTGACAGAGCCTAATCAGCGCAGATTAGTATACTCAGTAGCCCCACTCTAATGTTTTGATTTTTAATTTATATTACATCGATGCCGTCTGTCCATTTTAGACCAACTCCACCTTGGAGTTGGGGTAAACAGCCACAACGTCGTAGCCCTCAGGGGGTTGGACGCGAGCCTTGGCGTGGGTCTCACAGTACAGATTGTCCTCGATGAAGAAGTATCCCCTCTGCTTGAGGTTGACGCCGCAGTCGTCGCACATGAAGCAGTCAGGATGGTAGAGCTTGTCTCTGGCCTTCACGATGGTGCCACTGCACGAAACAGTCAAGACAGAAACAGTTAGCAACAAAACTCACGAGAATAGAGGTGCAAAAATACATAGTCATTATCTATTATCTACAGCAGGGGTTCTGAAACATTTTGGGTTCAGGGAACCCTCACAAGGAAGAAAACGTTTCAGGGACCCCCTCATAACCCTCATGTTTAGTAAATAATTTTCTTCAATTCGTCTCTTTAATGCAATGGAAATATTTGTGTAACAAATATTTAAGACCTGTACTTTAATAAGGTTAATACAATTTTTATACTTTTAAACATGGGATATTTTTAATTTAAGACATATTTAACTTTTTTTTTTATTTTTTTTTTTTTATTTCAACTTTGAAAAATTACATTTTTGATAAAGTACCAGTATATGTGATTTCCTGCATTTCGTGTATTTTTACATATAATTTTTTTTTTTTTTCAGATGCACTGGCTCGCGGACTCCCGGGGTCCGGGGTCCCCAGTTTGAGAACCACTGATCTACAGCTTACTTTATTCCAAATTGTTATTCAGTTGTGCAAACTGACCGATGCACATTTACTTTGCCAATGTGCATATTGATTAATTAAATATAGCAACATTCAGTCATTGCATTTGAAATCAAGGTTCAAGTATCTTTATTGTCATTTGCATCACATGTGGTACATGAAGTGGAACAAAACTGTGTACTTAAGGTCACGGTTACCCCCCAAAAATAGCAAAAATATAAAGTATAAAAAGAAACAGTATGTAAGGATCCAAGATATACACCAAGATATATACTAAACACTAATAATGTAAAATAATGCAGTTCATTAAACAGTAGCCCGAACAGGAGCCTGTAGTGGGATTGAAGTAGAAAACTGGCAATTACAGACAAAAATTATCTACTGAAAAATTCAAGTGGCCGTTGGAGACTGAAAACTACAAAATAAAACTAATTCAAAATGTTTTGTGCAGAGTTTCAGTTTCCGGGTGTGTGTGTGCATGTTGTCAAAGAACTTTGCCACACATCGAGAATAATTAAAAACGTTTTTAAAGATCACTTTATTCTGAAGCACAGTTTCTTTATAATTGTGTATTTTGAGCTCAAAATGCATTCATTTTAAAATTTAACTTCTTATTAAAGTCTTATTGTGCTGTAATGCACCCTTTTCATTTCTCTTCAGAATATTCTTGGGTGGGGCAACTGGAACGAGTAAAGACGCAGAGTTGGGAAACGCTATAATGATAAACAAAAAGTAAGACGCCCAGTTTGAAGGTGACTTTGTAAAAGTAGGTTTCAGGGAGATGACTTCATCGCAGACAGGCGACATCATGAGGAAACACTTTAAAAGGGAGAGACGTGATGATGAACTGTGTTTGAGTGACTCGTGGTTGTTTATTCAGCTTTATCAATGCAAATCCAGCATTATCACGTTTTATAGCTACTTATAACCCAGCTGGGAAGTTTTCAAAGAACACATTATGAGAGTGTTTTTAAGATCATTACTGTCACACCTGGAATCTGCATACATTTTTAATTCCCTGGCTTGCAGCTGGTAAATACATTTTGAAGCTCTGCACTTTTGCTTACACAATATAAAACAGCTGTAAGACGACTTAAATGTTCATTCAGATTTACTTTCGGGATTTGGAATCCAGGGTGGTGAACATTTACTCCTAACCCTGCTTCTTTATTTAACCTCTTTTCCAACGAAGCCACATAACTTGGCAGGATAAAAATTTGACACAATGCTCCATACATGCTGAAAATGCTGTAAAATGCTCAGAGGTCATAAGAGGCTAACTGTGGCCTGCAAGCCCCCACAAAGACCTCTTGTTAACAAGTAATGTAGGTGCATGACATCACTGCTTACCTGCAGCTGCTTTTATTGAGGGATTACCGGTGCTTTTGGTTACTTTGGCATAAGTGTGCTATGCATCAATGTGTAACTGCAGATATTTGGGAACGGGTGTGGAGGGTGGCTTTGATTAATCATTATGACAAACGTTCAGAGAAGTTAAGGCCTGTTGGTGCAGGTTGACGGGTGTTAACCTCTTTTGATTTTGATCACAGCGGAACACTGACTTTGCACAGTTCAGGTCTTAAACTTTATGACCAGAGACAATCTGGCCAAAAAAAAAAAAAAAAAAGTGGGAGAAATGCAATTTCCAGATGTGCTTGACAAAACCGCATAAGTGTTTAAACAGCAATCCATTCAAAGCTACATCATATTTTTAAAATATGTTTCTTTTTCCTTGTGGTTTGTAACATTTAAAGATGGAAAAACGACACCGATCAATAATGGAGAATGGTTACAGTTTTTCCTCCTAATAGAAAGAATGATATGAATGATTTATGAATAATAAAAAGCTGGTATACTTACACAATGCCGTTACAACAGCGCGTGCACTGGGGTAGCTTCTGAAGACCAGATACTGGGTTGGTAACTGGGTTGGTAATGGGGCTGCCCAATTTTTGTATTGGAGATCTGATGGGAGACTTTAACTGTCTCATTCTCTCTGTCGGCGACATGCCTAGGAACAAGCATACGACAACAAAATAAATAAATAAATAAATTAGTGATGCACGATATTGGATTTTTTGCAGATATCCGATATGTTAAAACTTAATTGTCCGATAACAGATACAGATATTTTTTTCCCTAGGCCTACTTACAGAGACTACATATCTTTCTCTGCTGTGGAATTAAAATACTACATTATTCTGCATGGTCTTTGTCAGTTTGGCCTGCTACCAAATGCAGATTCCAAAAAGGGGTCTGAAAATGATGCAACACTTCAACTTGGATTATGTTTAATGTCAAATTTATTCACAACATTTACTCTAACACAATGACAACACTCAACCAGTGCAAATTTGTAAATTTTCACAAATCTAAACTCAGCCTGTTAACAAGTGACAAGTGAAAAGTGCATAAGTAGTAGTGTATTAAGATGTACTTGACAGTTCCTTAAAAAAAAAAAAAAACAGAAGCCTTTTATATTGGGGAGTTTTTTGGTGGAATGTCCGATATTTAACTTTATTGCTAATATTTGCCGATACCAATACCATGCCGATAATATTGTGCATCCCTAAAATAAATATAAGAAGTAGGATATGATTTAAGTATGACAAACACACAAGGTGTTTGAGAAAAAATCCTTTACGTTCCAGGTGTTTAGAGTTGAAAAGAGTGGCTGTAGGTTTATATAAAGCAAGGAAGAAATTAAAAAAATAAATTCAACGAACAACATTTATTATGCTTCTTTCACTTTTTCTGATCTTGCTCACAGATGTACGTTGATTGTTCAGCAGGGTAGAAACTAAACGTGTATTTAGCTGTAAAGGTTGTCTCGAAAAGTTCAAGGTGTCAGCACAGCTCTAGCAGACTTTTAATTACAGTTTGGTTAACTTCAATGACGTCGTGCTTAATGAGCTGATGATTACAGGAGCTCGGTTAACAACACAAACACAGGAGCTCTGTTTTTTCCAAAAGGCATCACTGAGACATGGTCACTTCTACGGTCTCTAAAAAACTATTTATAAAGGATTTGTACAGATTTGTACACTTTCTTTATGCAAGACAATAATTGTTGTTTTTTTTTTTAAAGCAAATGTCATCGTAATACAAGCAACAAAGCACCTTGACTACTACAAAAACATGTTGCATTTTACACTGCCCAAGTGTAAAAAACACACCTAAAATCCCAAAACAAGATGTGTACGTGCTCTGAGGAACAGAACAAAAGGAACAAAAAAAAAATAGTTTACATTCACTGTTGATGTTTGGTTACCTTTAGGCAGAAAACCACATAGTAAAGCTAAAGAAAATATGGTTTTGAGGTAAAACAGACTCTTCGCTGTCAGTGGTGTAACATAAACCTAGACAAAGTCAAACAATCAAACTCTATCATTCTTTTTTTTTTTTTTTGTCGCTGGCACTTTCCTGTGCGATCCATTCAAAGGTCAAACTCTGTTGTGGCATTTCCTGGTAGGAATCCATCAGTCAAGATGGCAAAGTACCACACAGGAAAAACATCCCATGCTACAGAGTCCAAGATGTCACCGTCAAACCACTATGCTATAAATCACACAGTGAACTTGTCCGACACATTATAAGATGTGACATTTATCTTACCGACATGAGTGGTTGGAGTCAGCTTATTTGGATTTTTGTCACCTTTAAGGAAAAATGATGTTACAGTCCATTTTTATAAATGGCGTGTAGGTGATGGAGGCTGATGGATCATGGAAATAAACACGGGTTACAGCTTTCCCAAAGATGCCTCGTTTTATTAGGAGCCGTCAGCCCAAACTGTCAACTTTTCAGTTCTGCCTCTTAGAGCGTATAAAAGTGACAAGCTTTATGCTGGATGTCTGAAGCACTTCAGCAGATCAGAGAAGCACATACCCAAACTGCAGCATGACCTCCCTTCACTGATGATGTGCCAACAGAGGATATTCAGGCCAACAGGCCAGATATAACTACCACTAACCACAGTTTAATTAGCCTGCATCTGGAGCCTGACTCAAAGCACCTCAGTAACAGTTATCATGTGGCTGCTCCATAATGTGTCGGAGAGCTGAAATTAGGTGTTATTTGTGGGACTAATGTGCCTACCATTTAAAAATGAACATTTGAAAATCATTAAATGTTCAGCACTTTTAAAAAACGCAAAGGCTGGCTAATAAAGACTTTCATATACACTCAAACAAGTTTAAAAAAACAGGATTAGATTTGGTTGATTTGTACATTTTGAAAGATTTGAACCACATGAACTTGGCCTTTTTACTTTTAATCCTGAACACATTTTTATTCGATTAAAAAAAAAAAAAAAAAAAAAAAAAAAAAAAAAACCAACAATACAGTGGTTTGGCCTACTCTTAAATTTAAGTTTAGTGTAGTCAGGATTCTGGTTCTGATGAATGGTGGTGCGTACCAAAGCCGAGGCCACTTTAGTTGTTTTTGTGGGTTATAAACCTCCAAAGTTTTAATAACTTGTTTTTGCTTTGTGGCGCATTGTAAAACAAAAAAAAGCTACAGTGAAGAGTCAGTAGAGGTTTGTTTCTTCAAACATCTTCAGGTATGATTGAATTCAATTCAGTTTATTTATATAGCTCCAAGTCACAACAGAAGTCATCTCATGGCACTGAACAGAAATATTCATATACATAAAAAGTAAATTAATAACATTATTTATCTGAGGAGCAGACTGCTTTGAATTTAACTTCATTGAAGAATCTCATCTTGAGCAAGCATGAAGGCGACTGTGGAAAGAAAAAAACTCCCTCATGAGGAAGAAACCTAAGGATAGGATAATATTTCTATCTTAACATATGATTCTCGACCTGCCATTGTGTATCTGTTCCTCCTTCCTATTCCTCTCAAACCCAGCCGGTCAAAGCAGATGGCCGCTTGTCCTGAGCCTGGTTTTGCTCCAGTTAAGACTCTGGCAGAAGCATTTTGGATTAACTCAAGACTATTAAAGTATTTGGACACCCAGATACTAAACCATTGCAATAGTCCAGCCTAGACGTGATAAATGCATGAACGAGTTTTAAAATGTTACAGTTACTGCAAATTTTGCAAAAATCCAAAATAAAGCAGACAGGTTAACTTTGTATCACTCTTTGTGCCATTTTCCCATTAGCTTTATATTTAAAATTTTATTTTTTGTGATTTCCCTCCTGTTCCAAAGCACAATATTAAGCAGCTATAAAAGCCCACCTCTCTTTTTATCACATTGCCATCAAACTGTGTTAGTGTCTGTGGAATTCTGGGTAAACTGACACTATTGTTTACTCTAACTTTAAAATCCCCTAAAAGTCAACAAGGCCTCTGCAGGAAGTTTCCGTCTTCAAACAGAGAGCAGCTAAAGTGATTTAAAAGTCTGACAATGAAGGAGGCATTGAAAAGAATGATGATTCAACCTAAAGCTGAGTGTCAAATGTCAGCTTGCCTTTTTTCCTCATTATGACGCAGTTTAAAAACAACTGAGGTGTGTGCAACATCTGTGGCTAGATTACACATTCTCACACAGATTAAATGACGCTTATAAACCTTAACAAAGACGTACAGCTTTTAAGAGGGTCCCAATGTAAACTTGGTGTCTCGATGTTTCACCAAGGGCTTTAGGTGTCAATCAGACTCACAAACTGAAAGACAACTGATAATAGAGTAGAAAGGTTGAGTTTTATCTCTTTAGCTCATCAGCAGTGTTGTACTCTCTCTCTCCCTCCAGTTGCTTTCATTTGTCATTAGCATCTGTCTTCTTCAGCTCTTACTTTAATATTCCTTTAAATGGTTTTAGCAGTGATTAATTAGGGGAACTGTGCGAGTTGGCTCCGTTCCCTGGTTCACAGTAGAAACAGATTTTGTTGCTTCTGCTTGGAATCCCGTCAGCGTTCACATCAACGTGACTGAAATGTTATGATATTTTGTTTTTATTATTTTACAAAAAAAGAAAGTCAGTCTGTGCATTAGTTTATAACTATGTTAAAAATGTGTTTTCTTTTGCCATTTTGAAGGCAGCTTCTTATAACAGGATAACATATAGTGACTTTAAAACGTAAATATATAGTATAGTATAGTATAGTATAGTATAGTATAGTATAATAGAAATCTCCTGATGCATGCTCAATAATCCAGGTAGAAAAATCTTAAAAAAAAAAAAAAAAAAAAAAAAAAAGTAAAATCTGTTCTTTTTAAAATTAAAAAAAAAAAAAAAAAAAAAAAAAATTGTAGAAACATTTCGTCTTTTATCCGAAAGACTTCTTTTTCTTTTTCTTCTGTACATTTTTCAGCATCTTTCTCATTCCACTATTTGTGTGCTATTTCAACAAATCCTGTATCAAAACGTTCAGCTCGTTCAGGAGAGGGGTGCTGTGACTTTTGGTATTGAAGCAACTTTAGCTTTATTTATATTTTGCCTTGTTTGCCATTTTTTTCCTCATAGAAAATGAATTGAGCTCGTTTTACCTCCTTCAAAATCTTAAGATCCGTTTACAACCTTTTACTGCTCCTTTCACATTTTGTTGTGGTTCAGCTTCTTTGTGCAGATTTAAATATTTTTTCAGCTACTTTCAGCTGTTTTTAAGCCGTTTTGTACTCCTTTTACATTCTTGCTGCCAACTACAACATTTTTGTGCTTCTTTTAACTTCTTTCTGCTAATTTCAGCTTGTTATATTCCTTTCAACTTATTCATGTAAGTTTAAGCCTTTTCTGTTATTTCAGCTACTATTCAGCTGTTTTTAAGTTAATTTTAGCTTTATAGGCTAATTCCACATTTATTCCAATCATTTCAACATTTTTTCTGCCTAATTCAGCAAAAAGGTGCTCTCTGCACTCCCTTCTGGTAATTTAAGCTTCCGTCTGCCTTTTAGCTGCTTTTTAATTGCAAATTTCTGTCGTCCCCCCCCCCCCCCAAGATATTTTTCACTTTTTCTGCTCTTGTCTGCTTCATTAAGCCTAATTAGGCATTTGTGTTTTTTTTCTGTTAATTTACGCTTGTTCTACCTTTTCAGCCTTTTTTTTTTTTTTTAGCAAATTTCAGCAGGTTTCAGATAAAATTGAGCGTTTTGTGCTAATTTCCGATACTTTTGGCATAATTAAGTTATTTATGCTAATTTCAGCTTGTTATGCTCCTTTCAGCTCTTTTCTGTTAGTATAAACTATCTCAGCTGCAATTTAGCTATTTAACACCAATTTTACCTTTTTCAGCTAATTCCACATCGTTTAGCTCATTTCAGATATTTCTGCTTCCTTCTGGTAGTTTGAGCTTTGCTCTGCCTTTCAGCTACTTTTCAGCATTTTTTTTGTTGCTAATTTCAGCTTTATAATTTTCCTGCTAATTTCTAATTATTTAAACCTATTTCAGCTAATGTGTGTTCTTTATGCTTTCTTCTGCTAATTTAGGCTTGTTCTTCCATTTCAGCTACATTTCAGCATTTTTTTTTAAAAATTAATTTCAGGTGTTTTCCCAGCAAGTTCTTCTGCATTTGCACTGCATTTTCGCAGGAAATGAAGTTTGTCTAGTTAAAAATTGCAATTTCTAAAAATAAACCCAGAACTAACAATATTTATATTCACAAGTTTGTATTGGAGGTAAATAAACTGTAAAATCACCAGCACAACATTTATTTATTTATTTATTTAATGTTGAACTATTTTAACAGGCATGTAAAAAAAGTTTGTCTTCTTATCCATGTGTCCCAATTATAATGTTTTTTAGTGACCAGTGAACTTTGTAAGCTCTAGGGTTATGTGCTTATCAAATGGTCAAAAACTGGAACCCTAATTCTGCTTCAGTCCAACAACAGGTTGGACTCCTGGGTGAATGTTGGGTTTTCTATTTGACAAAATTTAGTAACAACTTCAAAAGCAAAAATGGTAACGGTAACAATCTAAATAGTCTATTTTCAGTTGTTAATGTGACTTTTGTCATGGTGTTTGTAATAGTGGCAAATGTTAAAATAAGCGTCCGGTATCGATGATTTGTGCTCCTGGGTTTGAAGTCCATCTCTGCAGGAACACACACGCACTTGGCTCCTACTTAGCCCTCCCTAAACTTTTGTCCTGCATCAGTGGTAAACATAAAACCTGAAAAGAAAGTTTTAGTTCCAGGGATTAGCTTTTTCTGCTGCTGTCAGCATCACATGATCTCGCCTCAAATGCTGGAATGCCAAGTTGTCAGACAGAAAAGCCATATTTCTCACTCGATTGTTTTGTGTGAAGTTGCTTTTGTTCCCTCCCCTGCAAATTCATCCATAAATGAGCTTTTTAAAAGTACTTTGTTACTCTCCCTCCTCCTTCAGTCTACTTTTGTGTGTTAATCTCTCTTCCTTTCAATCTGTCTTCCAACGTTATTGTATTTTTCTATAAAAGGAAAACTATGCAACTGGGATGGAGGAGAGCAGGAGTCTCATCTACAAAGCAGAACGTTTGTGAGAACTGAAGTGATTTAAACAGGTAGAAAATGTTATTTTATACCTGCTTTATAATTTGAGCAAATATTGAACCATGATACTTAGTATTATGTTGATGAAAATCATAAATACAACAATGACATTTTGTTTTTTAACTCGCTTCCTTTTTTTTTTAGTCATGTCTAGTTTGACTTATTTAAAAATCAAACACCACACTGAGAATATTTGTTATTAACCCATTTTAAACATGTTTTTATAATCCCTTGTTACATTTTACAGTTAGTTCTAGGATTAATAATTACATTTATTGTTTTTATGAGAATATCTGCCAATTTTATAATAAAGAATTGAGCTCTTGTGCCTATCTGACTGGACAAAGCCACAAATGAACTTTATTTAGAGAGATTCTGACCATTCTGTTGGACAATTTCCTGCACTTAAAACACCTAATTAACAACAAAGACAATAAAGCAATATTTATTACAAAGCAAGATATCTGGATTTTGTCAACCTTTGTTTCATTCTTTTAGTTATTGGACTCCAATACAAATGTTTGGTAGTACAATACACATTTGGTAAAAGTCCCCTAATCTGTTGCTCCACTTGCATACCTAAACTCAAATTCCTACCTCCATCCTCAGCTTCCAGGATCTCCTGAAGGTATTTGAAGGAGCCAGACTGTTTGGGCTCAGAGACGGGCTCTTCGTAGTCCTGCAGCATCTTGTAGACGGCTGACTGGGGGTCGAAACCATTACGGCCCACAGGGGACTGTAGGGGAGGCTCTGGGCTGTGAAGCAAAAAGGAAGCCATTGTCAGTCGTAAGGTTTTGCAGCCAACTGACTTATGATGACTGAGGGAAGGATAACAAATTATTTTTTATTTAGTTATCCCAGGGGAGAAATAAAAAGAACATTCTATAATGCTACTATTAATTATTTATTTATTGGTGTAATCTCCTCACAGCACAAAGGTTCCTGGTGTAGATTTCAGCAGAAAACTCCCAGTCTAACCACTGCTTGTTTTTTGTTACTAGATGTATTTTTCTTTCCGTCTTTCCTTCTTTTGGGTATTCTGGGTACCTCCCACGATCCAAAAACCTGCATGTTAGGTTAATTAGAGGTTCTGTAAGAAATGTAGGCTGGAGTGAGCATGTTTGCCTCCGTTTGGCCCGTGATGAACTGCAGATCTGCTCTGAATGACCCTCATTTCTCCGTCTGGCAGCTGGAGAGAAACCAGTTCCAGCGTGGCCTTCAGCAGAAGTCTGGAGAGGATTTGGACAAATGATCATCTCATAAAACGGAGTGCAACTTACGTTTTGTTTAAGGGCTTTTGTGTTTGTTGTCTAATGTGAAAACATATTGTTTGTGTTAAGTTTTCTATTATTTTACTTTTTTTGTGTATATTTGTGTTTGTTGTTCTGTTAATTTTTCTTCACTTTGTTGTTAGTAGTTTTTGTACATGCGTTTTGTTGTGCTTTCTAATTTATTTAATATTTTTGTTTCATGCATTTTTTAAATCTATTTAGTATTTACCAAAACATTCTAGGAGGTTTTATTAGTGCTTTAGGTGTTTTCATTGTGTTATTATTTATTGTGTTTTTGATTTTGTCTGTGATTTCCTATTAATGTTTTATATTGAATACAATGTTTGGGAGTGGTGGTGCAGAGGTTAGAGAAGGTGGGCCTATGATTGGAAGGTCGCCGGTTCAACTCCCTGTACTGACAACATCAAAATGCAGGTGGGAAAGGTGAAACACACACTTGCATCCACCCCCCTTCGCCTTACTCTGCGCCCTTGAGCAAGGCCCTTAACCCCCACCATCTGCTCCCCCAGGCACCCTACATGGCAGCTCTTTGCTCCACACAGAGGGTTGTGGTAGCTCGGTGGTCTGTAGTTGTGTCAGGAAGGGCATCTGGCGTAAAAACAATTTCCAAGTCTTTGTGCAAATAAATAAAAATAAATAAATTGAGTACGTTTGCCACAAGTGTCAGCATGGGTTTTGTGATGGAAAAAAAAAAAAAAAACATTCAAGAAATTTTATAAGAGTCCCTAAACACAAAAGTATGAGGAAGTAGTTAAATATTTTCCCTTTCAAATACAAGATAGAAAAGGGATTCAAACAGATTGAGCAGAAAAAAATTGAACCCCCCAAAAAAGTAAAAAAAGTATACTTTCTAGTTACTCTGAATGCAATTCCACATGCATAACATTTAAATGGCAACACCTCTGGTGTGCCTCTGCATGCTCATTAATCCACCAAATTACTCCTAAATCTCTCCAGATAAATTTCTTCTCTGGACCGATTTAAACTTACAAACTTTGGGACTGCTGACAGATGAGTGCAAATCCAGACAGACTTAACAGCATGTTTTTCTCCAGGCTCTCCTTTAGGAGCGTGATTGTACGCATTTTTCATTCAACCTTTATTTAGACAGGTAAATCCCATTGAGCCTCGAGGACTCATAGATATATCTATCTATATATCAATCGATCAATCGATATATATAGATATATAGATGTATATAGATATATATATGTATAAGAGAAACGTATGAGATACAGTAAGGTGGAACTGCGTGACAGAGAGAAAAGACAGCAGTTAGTCAGCAGGAGATAGTGAGTGACAAGCTATGGATAGAGTTAGAACGGTGTTTCTCTTTGTAAATGCTTTAGAGCTGGTTAAGATTAACAATCTGATTACCGGGAACTCTGGGGGAGCTGCAGAGGATGTTCACGAAGAGACAGAAAACAAGCCTTTATTGCCCGCTGGAGAGGGTGCAAAATAACAAATGGCTTTTCCAGGCTATCAGGATTGTCAGTGCACATGTGTTAAAAGGCATCTAAAGTGTGTGTGTGTGTGTGTGGGTGTGTGTCAGGGTCCTCACATACTTACATCTGGTAAGTGTAAAATACTGCAGCTCAGCTTTAAAACAAAATCCTACCTTGAGAAGTTTTAACAAGGGAAAGTTTGATGGATTTTAGAAGCAGTCACTAGAGAGGTGCAACTATTTCCTTGTGTGTTTTTCTCACAGCGATGGTGTGCAACGAGGCTGAGCTGGGAAATTTCATGGAGAGATATTTTGAAAGCCGATAAGCCCTACCTTAAAAGCCACAGCTTAGATAAGGTTCATGGTTCGCTGTTTTTACAGGATCAAACAGAAACTAGCACGCCTCGGTTCATTAATCTGCATTTTTTTAGATGAACACTAAAAAACAGCTCGCAATTAACATGAAAGTTCTATAGAAAGAACAAACAAGTGCAATAATGAGGAGCAAATTTAAAATTGAAATGTTAATAGCTTTATTTTATTTTGCACACTTAGTTGTTCATTGTCGGTTAAGACAGGAACGAAAATTGGAAAACAATAAAATGGATAACCTACTTGGGCTATCAATTGTTTAAGTTGTTTTCAAACATTATTCCCATTATACGATTTAGAATAAAAATCAGTTTGTCTCACCTGTGTGTGGCACTCAGGCTGAGACCCCCCATCTTGCTTGGCAAGACTCTGTCTCCATTGCTGCCATTGTGAGAGTAAAGCCCCGCTGGGTTGTTGTACTGAGCATTCCCGGTTCCATTGCCATATCCATAACTGTAGCCGTTGTTGGGCCTGGAGTGTCCATTATTCAGGTGAGTGAGCAGAGGGGGCTGAGGAGGCAGAGGGGGCTGAGGAGACTGAGGGGGCTGAGGGGAATGCGGTTCAGATGTATATGAAGGTTTTCGACCATAACTGCCAAAACCGCTGGTGATGGGACGGAAATTCTACAACCACAGAAAAAAAGAAATTGTATTTAAAAAGACAAAAAACAAACGTTTGTAGCACAAAAAGCTCCTAAAAAAAATCTTGGTTACCAAAAATGGTTAGCGGGATCAGCAGCAATAATGTATTTGGCTCAGTCATTAAAAAGGCCGGGAGAAAACAAACATGGAGGTGACCTGACTAAAAAACCACAATCCCTTTGAGACAATAAATGAGGCTTTACGAACTTAACTCACTTCTGTTTTTCCCTTTTTAATACAAAATATCATTACGCAAAAGGTATACGTCAAGACTTAACGCCCATATTTCTGTCAAAACAAAATAACGTGTGGAGTAAATATTGAGCTTTCTTGGCTCTGAACAGAAAAGTTTATGGATCCTGACAGAGTTTATATAGTTACAAAAAGAAACCATTTTTGGCAAGATTTAGCTGACTTTCCATATATCTGTTCTATTAGAACAGTTTAGACAGATCTGCAGGACCAATGAAAGACAGATACAGTACATTAGATACCTACATAACTCCACTGTACCATTAGCACATTTGTTTAGCCTAAGTTCAGTGTTCATGCAATTGCACAAGCGCCATAGGGATTTCATCAAGCCCCTCAGAGTTTACTGCAGCTATCAGCACACTTCAGAGATAATGCTGACTGGCTAGCCTCGTCTGTTGTAGAGACCCAACAACACAGATAAAGTTTTACTGCGAGGCTCATTTTGATGTCACAATTTCTGATAGTGTTTCAGAGCTTTGAATTTCAAGATATCCAGGATGTTTGAATGACTGAACAGGACTGCACCCAGTCATGGTATCAGACTACAAACATTTCGGATGCTCTGAAGGATTGTGTTTACAAGTTCAACCATGCAGCCACATGGGAGACAGGCCATTGTAACTATGAGCCACTGGACTGACAGTGTGTGTGCGTCCATGTGCTAATTTACAGCTCCTTAGCCACAGGTGGTGGAGGTTCAGTGCCTCTTTAGGCAGGACAACTCTCATTTCAACAGATGGATCTGATGGATATCATCCTGCTCTCGGCCCTTGCTGGGACCACACACACACACACACACACACATACACACACACACACACACAAGGCACTTTATAATGTGTTGGATTCTCCTGCACACCAGCAAGCCCACATCTTGAACTTAGAACAAACTCTGCCATTGCTTTGTATACTGGATAATTCACTTATGATGATTTTCAGAAAATGCCAAAACGCCTGTTCTCTCCAAAACCAAGATATTAGAGACAAATGAAACCAGAAACTCTTAAAAGGTCTTAAGATCTTAGCAGTAAAAGGGGAAAGAATTAAGAACTGCATCACCAAATAGCCACAAGGAAACATCCAAAACTTTCCGATGATTCAAAGAGCGCTAGACAGTGAAGTATGAGTACAACAGATCCAAACATGCCAAACTAGATTCTATTTGTTATCTTTAGCTCTCCTTAGACAAATGGTTGACCTTATGGGAAATTAAGGGAAACCCCGATTCATCTTCCTTGTTTCTACGCTTGGATGAATTGGTGTTTTACACAAAAGTAGTGTGAAAGTTCTTCAGAAAGATACAAAAATTTTAAGCATATTTCATTTTAAACTTTAGTGAGGTTAGCTGAAAATATTGCACTTGTATACGTTTGAGACATTTATTTTAAAAGACCTTGTCAGTACATACACTTCTCTTTAGCACCTGTTCCAAAACTTTAACAAAACATTGTCATATTATCTTGTTTTTAGATTCACACCTTTTTCCATATCTAGTTTTCAACTGTATTTCTACGTTATCCCTTAATTATTTCTAGATCGTTCAACTTCCTGATAATATATCTATAACTCAGGATAAAATGACTTTTATAACAAAATCACTGCCCCAACACAGCCTTTAGGCATTCATTACTCATTTCTCACATGTATCCAGAACCAAATCCCCCGATAATGATCAGAAGAATAACTGATACAACCAGACACGTTCATTCTTGCTTGAGAACAAAGCAAACGGAGGAAAAACCCATGACAGAAGACTTGGTTACAGACTCTAGTTGGAACTTGACAGTAATGGCATTACATTTAGGATACTGATCTAAACAAACATAACCAAACAGCTTCTTGTCTTTTCATTATCAATAGATTACAAGGTTTTCAAAAGAAAAAGAAAAAGGCAAAGATCTGATTTTGTGGTGTTAAGAAAATCACCACCAAGAACAAAGACTCAAAACTGCCTTATTTGTTATACAAAGAATAAAGACCTGATTGGTCGGAAGAGTGCCATTAGGAAGAATAACGTCATAAGTAAATTAATAAAAAAATAAAAACATTCCTTGTTGAAATCATACGGAATTAAAAACTAGTATGAAGTCTTCAAAATCCTGTGGCTTATAAATCGTATAAAATGTTCCAAACCGATTTCTAGATAAGGGAGTGAGATGTTCAGATTCATTGCTCTTTTTTTATTGACCTACTGGAATCAAAATATAACCTGTGTTTTACGTTGGACTCCAAAAACAATGCACATATTTGTAGGAGAAAAGGTCATTCAAACATGCTTAGTAAATGCATAATATTTAGGGATGCACGATATTATCGGCATGGTATCGATATCGGCCAATATTAGCATTAAAGTTAAATATCGGACATTACATCAAAATAACTCACTGATATAAGATGCTGTTTTTTTTTTTAACGACAATACAGTGACAAGGATGCATGCAGCGCCAGCACAATGTGATGACGTCACACACTCCTACCTGATCTGATCATGGCGGAGAGGAAGAAGTCAAAATGTCGGCGGTGTGGAAGGTTTTTATCCACCCGTTGTTTATATCGGATTCCGAAGATGTTTGGACTACATTGAGCTTTGCTTGTCCCCAATCAATCAGATATTTTTCTGACGTAGCCTTGCCCGAGTTACAAGCCATCATTTCCGACATCAATGACAAGCTAATGGCCGATTGCACTTGGGAGAGTTTTACCAGACATTTGGACGTCGTGTTAGCCTCATTAACAGGATTAATCTTACCGCACAATGGATAGACAAAAACTTGAAAATTAAAATGGCTGCACAGGAGTGCAGAGGATCCCACAGCTAGGAACCTGGAACAAGCCTCCACAAGTGAGACAGCATTGCAGGTGACTAATGCTAATAAATAACATTTAACACTTTTCATTTAATACAAGTTAAAGTGCTATGGTTGTTACTGAATATATGTCACGAGCCCTTACAGCCGTTACACAATTTTTGTAGCAAATAAGCCTAAATAAGAGGGCTATGTTCTGACAAAGGAAAGTATATTAAAAATATCAGTATTGGTAATCAGCCAAATAAGTTTTAACATATCAACATATCAGATATTGGCCAAAAATCCAATATTGTGTATCCCTATTAATATTGTCTTACCGTCTTAAACTCAGGCCAAAAACTCGTGTTTGTAAAGAGTTGCAAAAAACAGAAGCACAAACATGTTTACCCATTTTCACGCTAGCACACCTGTCTGAGATGAATTTACTCCAGCTGTTTGAACTGAACTCAACCCTGCCTTTAAATCATTCCTTTGTCCGTTTTTCCCAACGCTCTTTACTCCCTAACTGTGCACGCCTGTTCCATAGATATTTACTTTAGAAGGATGGTAGATTTATAAGGCAGCACATCTGGTGCTTGCCTCATAAAAATGCCAGTTTGGTTACAATCAGGACCTGTAAGTGCTTTCAAGCTGCTATAACAAACAGCGGGACACTTTTGTTCAATTACACACAACAGCTATGAGCCAATTGTCTCCTTAGAAAATATTTATTCTTTGTTTTAGGACTGGACTGCAAAATGTACTGAAATGTCTTTAAGTGACCGTTTATTATGTTGAATACCCTATCACCCCGATTACCCTGGTAACCCTTCCATTTTAGTCAAAACAATTAAAAACCAGTTTGAGCAGCTCCGATCAGAAACCTCAACAAAACACCACCTATGAGGTCATCTATTTTCTCTCTCTTGAGAATGAATGCACTTTAATTGTCCCCCAAAGCATGACTGCACACCTGCTGGTTCAGTGGAAAATAAACCAGAGAAGAAAAAAAGATAAGGAAGTGAAGTAATTATTTATGAAGTTCAGCATTGTCTACTGCTCATAAAACCAGAAAACTATGTGATTTCACTAAACGGTTTTTCAGTGGCAGCTGAGCATGGCTAATGATTGAAGAAAACTGGCAGTGTATGAAACTATGTACTTAAAAAAAAGAGCTGATATAGGAAGGAGAGGAAATTGGATATTTGGCGGTGGATATTCATCTTTAATTGTACTTACTGAAATTCTTTAAGCCAAGATGTGCAAAGGTTCTTCTGTCATTACCTTGACAAATTGTTACTGTAACTGCAGCCTGAATGGGTTCAGTTAGGCCATTACATGGTACACAGCTGCAGAACAGAAGGGTTGGAGTGGTGTGGATGTAAGGTAGTGTGCTGTAATTGAAAGCATAAGTCTACTGTTAATTGAGATCCAGAAAGTCATGATAATGCATACATGTGTACTGCACTTTTGTCTCTGCTGATTTCTGAATGGTTGAGTCCCTCTGGACATTCACAATTAGGCATTTAAAATGGTGCTCTGCACCAATAACCAAACACAAACCAATCATTCACGGTTCCCAGGGCCTGGAGAGACAGATGGTGCAGTGTGCTATAGTAGACTGTAAGTGTTGTGGGGGAAATTATTGGAACTGTGGGTTCTAATTCATCTGATGGGATCTGGAGAGGTCAGACCCAGGAATGCAGACAAACACAAGGAGCTTGAGTAAAAAAATAAAATAAAATTGGAAACAAAAAAAAATAAAAAATAAAAAACCCACAAAGGCTGCTGCAATAACTACAAGACAACAAAATCTAACGTAATGAGACACTGAGGAGAACTGGACAGTCATGAAGCACAATGGCAGACTGATGAGTGAGGGCAAGAACAGGGTTTTAACTGAACTGGGTGGAGTGATAAGTGGGAACAGCTGAGACT